CGGTGCTCAGCAGCGCCCCGGCCCGCGCCTCCCGCACTTTTCCTTCTGCCCCTTCGTGCGGCGGACCTCTCAGGCATGGGGGACGGGGGCGCTCGGCCCAACTCCGCCGAGCCTCGGTGCAACCCCCTTCGGCCCTGCCGGCCTCTCCTATGGAGCTCAGGGTCGGGGTCGGGAACTGGGATGGTAGGGCAGGGGGTCCTGGGCAGGAAAAGGGATAAATAGGTCCTCAGTGAGCTTGATTAAAGAAATCATAACAAATCTTACTAAAGGCAGCTTTTGCTTCTGCAGTTAGACTCCAGCAATGAAAAAGACAAAAGTAAGAAAAGATAGAGAAACCAGACCCGGGAAGGTGCCAGGGAACACAATTAACGTAAGAATTTAACAGGAAGAATCTATGGGTAGAGAAGAATCCAAGAACCTGAAAGGCCAGAGAAACCAGCCCCCTCACCCACCTCTGATAAAATGCAAAGGAGATGAGGGGCAGCCACCTCAGGACTCTCCCTTAATACACAAAAGACACACACAACTATGCATATATACTTGCATGTGTATTCTCAGTTTAGCCTCACTGTACCTGTACCAGATACGCACATGTCCCCCTAATTTCCGGCTGTAAGCTGTCCCTCTATGAGCAGCCCCCGCCCCCGCGCCATCACAGGCAAGAAGAAATCAAAGGACGAGAAAGACGAGAGTCAAAGACAGCCAGAGAGCCGATCAAATGTCAACAACTTCCAGGTGCCCACGGATGGGAGGATGGGAGAAATCTCTAGTCCTAAGTAGAAAGTAATTGACAAAAAATCAACAGGTATTCACTTCTGAGGTCCCCTACTCCCCCAGAGTAGCTGTTCATCATCATTTTCTTTTTCATCCTTTTCCAAATAAACCATTGTTACCTCCAGGGGTGGGCCGCTCACCGCCTTATGTCACGCCATGCCACTGCTCTGCTGAAAGCGCAGCTCCCAGTGATTCTAAACCTGGCACCCGTAAAGAATTAAAAAAGAGGAAAAGTTTAGTATCACAAAAGAGTTTATTTGGGGAGAAAAGATGGAAAAGAAAGGGGATGTACAGTTACCGTGAGGAGGTAGGGCGGAAGCCCGGGAGCTCTTATCCCTGGCTTGGTTTTCTGGGGACCAGTGTCTTTCCATTCCCCCCACCCCCGGGGGAACTTGTCCATATCTGATCTGTTCCTTGGCTGTCTTTGATCCTAACCCAGCTTTCCGGGCCCGTTGGTTTCTTCCTGTCCCTTTGTGATGAAGACGTGAAGGGGAGGGCCTGTAGGAAGGCAGCTTTGAGTAAAGGGCACCCGTGTACACGTGTTTATCTGGTACGATATTAGACTGATGCTAAAGTGAGAGCACACACACACACGTGCACATGTGTAAGTGTGTGTGTGTGAGCATGTGCATGCGTGTCTTACCTATTAAAGAGTCCTTAGGGGGCTGTCTCCCATCGCCCTTGCACTCCATCGGCTGGCTGAGAGGAGCTGGCTTTCCTAGTAACTGTGGTGCCTGGGTTGTCTTTCTGATTATCCTAATTGCAGAGTGCACCTATGAGGGAAGAAACTACTTTCGGTGGTAGAAGCAGAAACTTCTTTTAGGAAGTTCCCTATTGATCTTAATAAAGCTCCAGGCAGGCTCTACCCTTTTTCCTACCTCCAGTGCCCCTTGTCCCTACACCATGTTCTTTTATTTTAAACTTTGCCTCTTCATTACTGTTGCCAAATTTATGGTCCTGGTACAAGGAGTGGTGTGTACCTCCCACCCTGCCATAAGATCAGCTGGGGAATTGCCTAAACCAGGGCACTGGGGTCTCTTGGTAGCAGTGGCTTGGATGTGTGCGATTCTGCTTGGGGGTTGGGCAGGTGTGGAGGTACTCGGGAGGGGTATATGCATCCACGGGGCATCCAAGGTGTCAGAGACTGGGGAGGGAAGAGGGGTGGAAAGGTGGGGTGCAAACCTGGTCAAGAGCAGCCCACCTCAGTTTGTCGAAGGCCTGGTGTTGAGAGTAATAATGGTTAATATGAAGCGGGGTGTGCGAAGTGCTTTTTATACCTTATCCCATTTGAGGCCAGGGATTTAGCTCAGTGGCACTGCACCTGCCTTGCATACACAAGGTCCTGAGTTCTATCTCTGGTACACACACACACACCCACAAAAGTGTATCATTATCCCATTTCACCCACCACCGCCACCCCATCCAAATACAACGGAGTCACTGTAAGAGACAGGAAACTAGGGTTTACAGAATACTCTGCCTCCAATCACACACCAGTAAACAGAGAGAGCTATGATTTGGACCAAAATCAACCTGACTCCAGCAGTCCCAAAGGCACACTTGTCACTGTTAACACTCTGAGATTCTAGCCACTTTTGCTACAAGGTCAGTTGTCTTCTCAGCCTTATACTCTCCTTTACTATTTATTTATTTATTTTTTTTGTACTGGTGATCGAACTCGGGACCTTGCACTTGCCAGGCAGGAGGCGGAACCACTGAGCTAAATCCCCAGCCCTACTCTTTCAAATATATGTTTCCTCATATGCATATGCCACTTTGTCCTAAAAGAATATTCAATATAGCTTACAAGAATACATGGTGGTGCATGCCTGTAATCCCAGCACTCCAGAGGCTGAGGCAGGAGGATCACTGTGAGTTCCAGGTCACCCTAGGCTACATAGTGAGTCCAAGGCCAGCCTGAAATAAATAGCAAGGCCCTGTCTCAGCAAAACAACAGCAGCAACAACAAAGACACCAGAAAGGAGTACACGACCTACAAAAGAGGTTTGTGAAATGAAAACTAAGGCACATAAAATGCAGCCCGTGATGTATGCTGTTAGAAAACCCCATAGAATCCAATACACTTGAGTAGGTGGGACCAAATTTTTCTCTCAGATTCTAACAGCTAAACTCAAGAGGAAGGCCTTGTCTGAAATTCAATTCTTGGTCTATGAAAAACAAAACAAAAAGTACTTTAAAAAAGTTCTGTTCCACTTCATAAAGAAACCGGAGAATAATGAACATTGGGTAATATAAAGACCAAGTCTTCAACCACTGCTGTGTAAAAAGAAGGAGCAGGTGAATTTCAGGTGGATGTTAATATAATGACTGTTTCCTCACTAAAGAGGTTCACAAGTTTTCAGAGCTAGTACAGTATATCCCTTCCTTCCTGTTAGTCTATAATCGAAACAACCAACACTTCAGATGTTTGAAGACAGTAAAGATTCATACCCATCTTTCTCTCTCTCTTATAGTTCTTAGGGTGAAGGCTTTGGTTTTGTCCAAAGAGATCTCTGATTTCCAGGTGAACAATTACCTTTCCATGACCTCCTCCCTCAAAGTGAGCTCTTTACCACCCCTCCAAATTAAATCTATTGCTTACACTTTATAGTCTATACCCTTGTCCTTACCTCATCTCTACAACCAACTGTAATCTATCGGGTATAGCTTTAGGCAACACATGTGAGTCATTACCAAAAAAAACTGCTATTGATTGGATTTTGAAATCAATGTGGAATATAGGTGATCATGAAGAAGAAAATTAGATTCTTCCAGGTTATTTCTACAGAGAGTGCATATTTTCCTTTTAAGTCCTTGTCTATAGAAAACTTGGTAAGCCTGCTGGTACTCTACACTCCAGCTTTCAGGGGGGCCCTTCACCATTTCTCTATCACATCTCTTCTGCATATATGTATTGATTGCTTCTACATATACCTTTACGTAAATGCATGATTCTATTTATGTGTATTTATATATATAAACTATGTGGTGTATTCATGTAACATTAAACACATACGCAGACAGCTACATGCATGTGTAATTGAAGTTTGTTCTACATACAAGCAATAGAAATGGGGTTATTAATTCACTCATGAAATGATTCTTGCAAAATTTTATAAAGAAAGAGACCTTCTTTCTCTTGGGCTTCCTGAGAACTTAACACTGTCCCTGCCTTGGACTCTGTTTTTTTGGGCCCCCCTAGGATTTGTGGGGTTTTTTTTTATAAGCTCAGTTTTTTATCAAATATGTTATAAAAGGTTTAGTCCAAAAGACCAACACATGTCATCACCAGTGTCCTGGGATTCTTCCTCTTTCCTCCCTTCTGCTTTTTTCTCCTCAGTGGGGAGCAGTGGGAGGGGGACCTCCTGCGGGTACAGCGCCAGCTGTAGGAGCAGAGCCACCCGTATCTGCGCGGCAGGTGTCCCATTTGGGTGCTGGCCAGGGCCTTGGCAAAGTAGCCGGGCCCCCAAAGCTCTGTGCTTATATGAGCTGCTTTCATGAGGGCATGGATTTCAGCCTCCAAGAAGCTCACCCCCCCAGTCCTGGAGGATGGGGGGACATGAGCCAGAGCCCATGGGGCAGGTGAGTGCCTAGATGGCACTTTTCCCCAGAGCAAGTGACAGTGAAATCATGACTGCTCCTTGCTGAGGGACACTCAGGCTCCCAAGGCTTTGGAACTACTACACACCTTCTCTCCTGTGAGCCTACAAATAGCCAGTTCTGCGCATGTCTGAGGATGATTCAAGACCGCCAAGTCAGCCTTAACTTCCTCAGAAGGACAGAGGACCTTGATGGTCACAGAGAAAAGGTCTCACCTGAGACCTTTAATGAGGTTTTCTGGCTGCTTCTCTCTGCATAGTACATCTTTTCTAAGTGAATAAAGATGAGAAGTTAGCTCTGTCTTGCCCTTTATCACCTGCCAGGTGCGTAGTCTCCCTGGTGTATGAGGACCTCTGTCCTCTAGGAACAACACTTGCAGCTCATCTTGCCCTCTTTTCTGCTTCCCCCACCTTTATGACGGGCAACCATTGATGCCTGTGTTGTGGACCATTGAGTCTTCTGCCTTCCCTCGGGGGAGTGGCTCCTCCGACTCTGTCTTTCTACCTCTGCTCCTCAGAAGCATGGATCTGTTACTTAGATAGGGTGTGGGGAGGCTACATGTGAGGACGCTGAAAGTACACCCACGTTTTTGTATTTTTTCCTAGGGGAAAGGTTTTTAGCTTTCAGCAGATTTCTGAATGACCCATCCCCAAGCTGTATGTCTTCGTCTTCCCTGATAGCTTCAACAGGACCCAAATGACCTTCCTGAATATAACTATTCGGACCCACATTTCTCACCACTGCCTCCTTCTGTCTTCCCCAGGGCTTCCTCTCCATCCCCAGGACCACGTGATGGTCTGGGGCCCCATCATCTCTTACCTGCATGGTGTAACAGACATGTCACTGGCCTTCTGCATCGTGGGGCCTCCTTTCCTGTGATCTTTCTTTCATGCTGCTTCCCCAGGTACCGTGACATGCTATCTCTCTGCTCCCAAACCAACTGGGAGTTTTCCATTGCCTACAAAATAAAACGCAACTTCTTAACATGGTGCTCACAGGACTGGAGTTTTCCAGCCTGGCCTGGCCTCCAGCCATGCCCTCACAGGCACGTGACCTCTTGGGGTGTACCTTGCCACTCCTGGTAATTACTACTTGCTGTGTATCCTTTCAGGCCTCAGTCATTTTGCTCATGTGATTCCCTCTGTCCCCTAACTCTCTCCACCTGATAAATACGGGAAAAGCAGGGTCAGGCCAACCCCATCTACAGCAGGAGGTCCTCTAGAGGGCACTCACAGGGCTGCCCCTGGGCTGGAGGGGGCAAAGACCCTCTCAAAATCGGTCTGATGCTAGGTGTGCTTGGGGGACTTCTTGGCTACCATGGCCTGCATTGCATTGCATAAGGTTTATTCATCCATCCAAGATGTAATTACAGATGCCTCCTTGATGTCTGGACCTATTTTTGCCACCGCGAGTCTAGAAGAGAACAAGACAGGCAAGATCCAATGTACGAGATAGTAACCAAGTGAACAAATAAATCCAGAAGTATGCCACAACTTTACACAAGCAGCTGACACTTCAGAGTCAAGATACCGCGACATGTCCCACAGGGGCCTCCAGCTATGTGAATCTTCGAGGACAAAGCCACCATATGGAGGAAAACAGCTCCTGAGGAGAGCAAGGATGTGACAGGAGAAGCAACGGAGGGAGGAGCTTCGATGCCATCTTGTACTCCCCTGCTGGGTGCTGCTCTTATTTCCAGACAGGGAAATTGGCCTGATTATTTGTTTTGTTGCGGTTGGCCATCCCACGCCGCAGTTTGTACAACATGATCAATCCTTGCTGTGGCTCTTCTGGACTGAGGCTAGGCAAACTGTCCAGAGGAGCAGAGGAGGATTGGGGTCTGGCTTCTGCTTTAACTGGGGCACTTGGACGAATGAGAGAGATGGGTAGAAGTTTTCTGGCAGAGTTACCCTCCTACTTTGCAGATGTGTAGATCTGCTGGGTCGTGTCTTTAACTGCTCTGAAACTGCTTCAGACTGAGGAAGCCATTTTATACTCTGTGACTCAGTCTGGGGCGCGTTTATGCCACGTGTAAGACTGAAACACAGTGGCATGAGACAATATCTATGCAGTTCTACACTATTTACTCTGAATCTGAGCCCTTCAAATTTATCAGTTTTCTATGACATTAAAAAATAATGTTGGTCAGAACCAATTGCATGGATTCATTACGGATGGTTTACAAAATAGTTCTAGGACTACCTCTCCTGACAAGAATAGGTCTCTGTAATTACTTGTGGTGAAGGGAACCCTGTGGCTTTGATTGGGGGGGACCTCTTACTTTTCAATGGCCTCACTTTTAAACTTTTATTTTTGTATTATTTATACAAAATCTATTCAGGAAAGAATGGTATTTCAAATCTGATGTAGAATTCCTTGCTTTCTGATCTGGCCTGGGTAGATTTAAAAAAACTAGAGGCTGGAGCCAGAGAAAGTGAATCTACTTTTTCAAGTTTGTTGAATAAAATCTTTTTTCCTGTTTTAACAAATGTTTGGATGGCAGAATGGCTTAAGTAGTTAAAAATGTGTGACCCGTGGAGCAAGACTGAGCTTGAATCTCAGCCATTTAATCTGGGTTATGAGACCCTAAGGAGTTAATAACTTTTCTAAGCCTGCTGTGTGAAAATGGGCACAAGCAACCCCTCCCGCACAGTACCTAGCTGTCCACCGTGCAACCGGACCTGTGCCCCCTGTCTGGTAGCAAACCCTGAAGACACACGAGCCTCCTGACGGCTTCCTCTGTGCCAAGCGGTGCGGCCACAGGGGTGAGTGTTTCAGTAACCTGGTAAGTGCTGTGCGGTCCTCTCTGAGAGGCGCCTACCCCAGTTCTGGGTTGACGCAGAGGAAGTGAGGTCTGGCCAGATGCCTAGTGAGCCAGACAGACACGAGGGAGAGAAGAGGAGGGTGGTGCACAGGTGAAGGGCGCAGTGAGCTCCGCAGAGCCACGCACTCCCTAGTGCACCCTCACCCTCACCTCTGCCTCCACACCCTAGGGCTCTCACACTGGATCTTAAAGCCTTTGCAGTCTGGGAGGCTTCACGCCCAAGAGCTCCTTAAACCCCCAGCTCCTCTTGGGCCATGATTCCCTGAACACCGATCCTGCTCCTCCAGTTTGCCTTTGGGTGCTAAAGATGACAGGAAAAGAGGCTGTGTTAATTGAAATTCAACCCCAGTCTCTTTTCAAAAGGCTGGCCAGCCACTCCCAACAGTGGTAATTTAAATGACAAAACCAGTTCTGTCAGACAACCAGTATTTTGAAAGCTCCTATTGTGCACGTAGCACCTTACTGCCTTCTTTCAGCTTAATAATTCAACACCTACGAAGAGATCTGGGTAAAAGTTGGAAAAAACAAAAGTTCATAGAAAGATTCAAATGACCAGGAGCAGCCAAAGGATGTGGTTTTCTGGGTTCAACAAACAAACAAACAAACAAATCCTGTTTGATTTAATATGCATTTTAAAGTACTGTGATAAGCATAGTATTGAAAGCAAACTTCTGAGTATTAACAGACAAACTTGCATGTGAGCAGTGAAGAAAATCATTGTAAATTAATGTGAGTGGGTATTTCTCAAACGGGTTCATCTATGGATATATTTCTAAGCTCTGCAAGAAATTGCCCATTTAAAGGGTTCATATTTTCTTCATATTTAAGGAAGCCTTGAGCAGTCTATTTCTAGTGTAAGATACCGCTTGGTTTTGACCCTGGAGATTTAGTACCCCCTCCTGCTATCCCTGTGCCAAAGCTGGACCTTCCCCATCCCACGTTGGCTTGTAAGTCGTTTTATTCAGACGGATTGTTCTCAAGGGAATAATGCGTGACACTCAAGCGCAGAGAGCAGCCTTCTGAAAGCAGAAACTGGGGGCAAATAATCTGTCTCCTGTGTTTGTTTCTTTTGTGCTCTCTGGCTTTGAAAGTGGGGAGCAAGTCTCCCTGAGCGATGGATCGAGGGACGGTGTGTCTCAT